CCAATGAATGTCAATCCTTCCAATATGTAAATGTATTGCTAACATTTTTACAAAACTTCTTGAAAACACATTCAATTTGAAAGAAGTTACATGCAAAGAAATGTGTTGCAGTATTTATGGGACACCCTGTAATTTACAACCGAGTCATGCCCACTTAAGCCGCACTGGTCGAGTTCAAAGTGAGAAAAGTAACCAGCCATGTCCTCCACGCTCTCACTCAAAAACCTCTACTCAACCACAAACCGATCGACCTTAATTGCAAGACATGAGGTATCAGAATGAATGGATCTTCTCTGCTCAGGAGACTACAGCCGGTAGAAAAACCCTCGTTCAGGGAGGCCATCAGTGTCGGATTTGGAGAGCCTGCGCTCTCTCGTGGGAGCCGATCCACACGGGGTAACCTGCTATGTGGCCGCTACACCCTGGTGTTTCAGATGCACAGTTCATAGAGGTTCTCGCTCCTTCGTAAAAGGGTTGAAGCTTGCCAAAGATTCCCTCATGAATTGACCACTGATGACAGGAGTGCGACACGACTCCGTCCTATAATTTGTTTCCTACTCCACCCGTACGCCCTGGTTGAACAAAGCCACTACTGCAGTTGAGAAGTACAGGTTTCATGACAACCACACCCAGAATCCTCACTGGGAGCTGGATCTAGCGGAATAGGCGGAGAACTGGAACTGATCACAAGGTTATGCTCCACCCTTTTTGGAAGGTTTCAGGTTAACCGCTTGAAACCTCTCCTTCGTTACAGCTGTGAGCAGTCGACTCTAGTGTGAACAACCCCTTGGTCACATTTAAAATATTTTCAACAATCTAGTGATTATTAGCAAACTTCATGATATCTGTGTATAGCATGGTTAAGAGAATTGTTTGATAGGAAGCTAAGCTATACGAAACTTCAGTGGGTGGCATTTAGCTCGGCGGCATTCGAGCTGGAGTTTTGCATTATTAGACTGAAGATTTATTTCTAGTGGGGCTTCTCCGTATTTCCATAGTCTTCAGACACAGGAAGGGTTTGAAATGTATTAGAAATCCTTTTGTACATATAAACTTCCCAATTTTACCCCTCATCCCCTTGAAATCCGAGTTTCCCTTCCAAACACTCAATTCTCATCCCAACATTGACCAACCACTTAATCGCTCATCACATTGTAATATAATACACTGGTGTGCAAAACTTAGGGACGAACGTAGCTTTTCCAACGACGTGTTACTGGCGCGTAAGATGACTCTATGGAACCTAACCACACAAAGAGCTGTCACAGGGCACTAAAGAAAGCAGTTAACAGGAACCGTTAAACGGTCCACAAAGCTATCAAAAGGTTATGATACTTCATCTGTCTCGTCCTTAAGTTTTGCACACCAGTGTACGAAAGCCCAGATCTTAAGTCATACCTTGAATATTGTCAGAGTCGAACTTAAGTAGAAAAACTGCCTTAACTCTTTGACTACTGGTGGTACACATGTGTACCACTTCCGTAGTCAAAGGCCACTACCACAGTTCTGGGACTTCAGACTGGAGTCCCGCTTAATGTCGGAATTGTGCACATATAGAAATGCTATAATTTTTACTGTGATAACAAATCAGTGTGAAACCAGTCATTCAGGATAAATTAATAAGAAGTACTGTACCGCAGGTCATCGATGAGTGTGCGCAGCTCCCAAGAAGGGCAATGTTAATTGCTCACACACGGAAAAAGTAACAAAATTAACACTAAGCTATCAAAAACTATTGCCGTGGGAACAACCAAAAAACTAAATTATTGAGACGAGCTCTTACTAATAGTGCAAGTAATTGTGGTGCCCCCCTAATCTGTGTCAGGTGCAATATACGCCAACGAACGCTGAGTTGGGTCGTATAACTTCGTATAATGTATGCTATACGAAGTTATTACGGATTGATTATGTGGATTCAACCTCAGATACAGATTATCCGATTGGCATGGGAAATGGAAGAATATATGATGACACAGATTCTGTAGCAGTTAGAGCGTGTCGCCCGGCACCGGGCAGACCCGCACGCTTCTACGGAGGTGCGGTTTGCAGTTCTACCCAAGTGCGATCGCTACCGGACAATACTTGGCTTATTCTACGAATGAGATATAAAATACTGTATTTGCAAATGGTAATTAAGTTAGCAGCTCACATTTCGAAAATATCATTTGAGCCATGGAGGGGTGATGAAGAGGCCGCTACCGCGTGCTAGACCCTGCCGATCACAATCTCAGCAGGCAAATCGCAGCCGTGCGTCAGCCAAGCCTTTGTAGGTAATTATTGGTCACAAGGAGCGATAGCTACCACATAAAGTACACTGGTGACTTCATTTTAAAAGAGTCGTAGTCTAAGGGATGAGAGACAATTTATGCGCAATTTTGAGCGAGTCATCACGCATTGCGAATTGGGTGTCATTTCGCTTTTGCGGCAATTCGGTGAATTTGGATTTTTCCAGCATAACTTGCAAAAATTTATCATCAAGGAGCATTGGACCTTGGACCATCTCTACAGGCTATTTTGGCATACCTGGAAGCGTTCCGAAAAAATTGACCATGGCTGTGTTCTTCACCTAACCTTACAACATTCAATGGCATTTGAAAAAACGCTCCATGCCCAAAGACCTTCTTGAAACACATGGAAGCGTCCACGTGCTAGCGCGATCGCCTCACCACGGGTCCGTGGGCGTTGATGGTGGAATACTAAACGTGAATCAATGCGGGGAAATAATCCAACATGTTACGATTTGTTTTGCTGTTTTAACGCCGCAGTTCGCGTTGCGAATGTTTCACAAGAATGCTGGGTTGTGAACAAAACTTCCGCCCCAGGCCTGACTTGAACCCGCACCTCTCGCTTTACCGAGCAAGTGCTCCACAGTTACGCTACCGGGACACCGTTTCGCCTTAACCCCATTCCTCACCGTAGATTTACCATAGCAAATGTTCAACGTGTTTAGTTTATCCAAAGATAACTTTCAGCGGTAGTGAAAGACTATTTTCGAAGAACGTACAAACTTATATGAAGAATACGACAAGGAGGGAGAAAAGCCTATTCACCAGTTTGGGATCATTACCATCCAATGTTCGCAAAATATTTTCATTCCAGATAAGCTAAGCTCACGCAAATTACAGTTTTACAAGCCCTAATCGGCCAGGCACAAGAGTTGTTTGATGAAAAAAATCACTCTGGTTGGCAGTGGAGAATGAGCAAGTCTACTCTTTGGTTCGCAAAGCTCGCATTTTGTAAAAGAAGTTCGATTATCGCTACTGTAAGCAGTAAGTACACATAGTTAACAAGGAAAAGCAAGTACGAAAGTATGAAAGTCTCGGCGAGCAGATGTAAGAATTAGTCATCAACTAATTCATTGCAATGCTAAAATTATCCGAACTAGCCCTCATGCGCGACAATCTCTCATTTACTTGAAAGTACCGTCGGCCCCGTAGGGGAGGCAAAGCAAGCAGACGTAAGCGATGAGATGTGTGTTGAAGAACAACTACAAAATTGTATGTTGCAAGTTTATTTACGATTAAAACTAGAATTGTTTCGATGCAAATGTGGCTGAGCACATGGTGCTTAATATCCTGGAGCTGTGCGAGGAGGTGGGCAATGGTCGCAGCTTCCTTGAGATCCAGTGCTACCGTCATCTCCTGGTCGTCCGTCGGCTCCTGGGTTTCCTGGGCCACCAGGCTGTCCATTATCTCCAGGCAGTCCTGGGCCACCATCTTGTCCTGGGTTTCCTGGGCCTCCAGGTTGTCCATCGGGACCGGGAGGTCCTTGGGGACCAGGTGGTCCGGGTGGTCCTTGCGATCCAGGTCCCTGAGTGAGTGTTCCTGGGGCTCCAGGTGCACCAGGGTTTCCAGGCTGACCAGCGTTTCCGGGTGGTCCTGGTGGTCCAATGGGACCTGGTCCTCCTGGGTTTCCAGCATTTCCTGGCTGACCGTCAGATCCAGGATTTCCTGGTGTCCTCTTGCCTCCTGGGTTTCCAGGTGGACCAGGAGGGCCGGGTGGGCAATTGAAGCATGGACGTCCAACATCGGGAGCTGGTGTGGCTGGTGGTCCGTCAGGTCCATTTCTACCAGGTTGTCCAGGTTGTCCATCGGATCCAGGTTGTCCATCTTGTCCAGGAGGTCCGGGTGGTCCTGCTGGTGAGACTCCACAACCGCAGCATCCGCCGCCGGACTGACGAGCTTTCCTGGTGGGTGCGGCAAGGACCTGAAATCCATGAATTTATCCGAGGTAAACATGAGAAAATTGAAGAAGAAGGTGTAAAACGAACCTGAGTGCGAGTGACTTCTCTCCAGATGTTTCCTGAGCGGGACTTGCAGAAGTCGACTTCGTTCTGCATGACCGACTGCATGTGCTGCATGTAGTTGTACAGCATGGGCACGGAGATCACACAGACGAGCGTGGCCACGGTGGAGAGGGCCACTCCGAAGAAGGCGAATCTCCTCAGGGAGAGCGCCTCCGATTCCCAGTGCTTCTCGTCGGTCATGCTTGATCTGCTTGTTTACAGCTAATACTGATCGCTTTTATACGATATCGTCCCGTTATCAAAAACATTACTACGTGGACGAAAGTCGATTCTTTCCTTGACCCTTTTGGAGGCCAGCACTGAAAAAGTTTAAAGTAGGTTAAAGTAGTGATTAGTCGAGAAAATCACTCGGCCCCAGCATTGCGATGGCTGAACCTGATCGAAGGCGCTGGTGAATCACATGGCCAGGTAAGCGTTGGCTCAGGGAAGGTGGCTATTTCTTATAAGTTATAGGTGCGGTTAGGTAGGGTGTAAAGGCCAATTATGATAAACCAAAAATGCCTTACGTTTTACTTAATTTTTTATGCGCCCAAATGACACGATTTCGCACGTGGTAGGGAAGGTAAACACTAATAAACACTGAATAAATACTAAATCAACAAACAAACAAGTCAACTAAAGTCGGTTCATCTATTCTGCCATCATAGCAAGAAAAACCTTCAGTATTCTAAGAAGTAATAGCTGAGTTCGAATATTTAGGCGGACAGTCCCGTTGTCGGCGTGAACTTGCATAGCTTTTTGTTAAACAGGCCTCGGCTTTCAGAAATTCTTTATTCTCTAGAGTGGGAAAGTATCCTTTCTTAGCAGTTGATCTTACGCATTCTCGCTTTTAGACGTGAGCGGACGAGATCTTCGTTCAGACTTCCTAGGCCCGTGGTCCTTACATCATCCGAATTGTCATTTCTCATCTTCAGCTATTCTTTTAAGATGTCATTTTTGCAATTATGGCGGAAGGATTCCCCCATAATATTAGGTTGGGAAAGTCCTGCAACACTTTTTCAAATTTTTGATTTTAATTTTATCTTTTTTGTTTACAACTCCTGACCGGTCATATATCTACCATGAGTGTCCACCACTTGTCTTCAACGCTCAGAAAATTTCTTGATGCTCCTTTGCCAAAACCCAGCGGAGTGCGGGTCGAGAAAGGAGGCGACCTCACTTCGAGTTGGAGTTGATCGTCTGATTATTTCGTCAGATGATTAAAGGGTCAGGATAGGTAGCACTCATTTACAGCTCGACCAGGGGATTACGCTAAGAGAGGTAAGAAATCTTGCCGCAGCTCCAGAATTTCTTACCGGGCTCATTTCGGATCATGGTGATTCGCAATGTCATGAAAGAAATGAATATTGTCGCGGTACGAGGGCTCTTGACGAGCTGCTTCGGCCAGCTTCTGGAGTTCCGCAGCCTAGACCTCTAGCTACACAATGGTGCCCATAAAGAAGAATCTGTAGTTGAGTTTCCGTAAGAGCCCTACCGGCAATGGAGTGTATGGGACGCTGCTGGTTTCTTATAAAAATATCAAAAGATCGAAAGCGCTGGTAAAGCTGAAACACGCTGTAGCGCTGAACGGCATGCCTATAGAAGCTATTGCAGATAGTGTCAGTCGTTGACACGAATCCATAGTTTTGTACTAGACAGTGACTCGGAGTATGGATTTGCTAGTGGTCGAGATTTTTTGAATTTTCTTGGATAACTACTGACTGCAGCACTTTATATCCACCGCGTGGATTGAAGCCACGAGAATGCTCTACCATTTGTTAGTCATAAATGTTACCCATGAATTTTTCAGAAAAAAAAGAAAATTTAGAAAGGTATGTGCTGAAAACCTTCTTTCGAACTTAATAGATTAGACGCGAGAATCCCTTCGCCATGTGCTCAGCCCGGTGCTCGAGTCCCGACAACAAACCTCCGTGCCAGTATTCTGTCCCTTGAGACCCTCAGCCGAATCATAACTCATTTGCGACATTACCGGTGCAATGCAAAGTGTCGTTCAATATTTTAATCCCTCATGCATAGAGTAGAGCGTTTTTGGAGACCAAATAGGTCCCTTTCACCTGCGAATCGCTCAGCTAGTGTCAGTCGGCCGCGAAAAAAAAAACAAATTGGAACTATTGCCATCTGAAAAAATTATGATGTCCTTGCTCTTTGATCCAACGGTAAAGGTCTGTCCAGCACCTAATAAGAAAAAATTATTTCATTAATCATCGAGACACAACCAATTGAAAGCAGTGATTACTATAATTTAGGAAGGGTTTGGAGAGACATATCAGTGCGCGATGATATGTCGGTGGCGAAAAAAGAGGAGAAATCCGTCAAAAGGACGCGAAGTGGGACCCCCTTTCTAGCAGGTGGTTTTCACATATGTGCAGGTGACAGCTCAGAAAGCTTGCTTATGAACGAGTTCAGCGCAACGCCTTTGGCAACATTATGCCAAACAGCAACCCAAATCGTAATCGTATCGTAATCGCTGCCTTTAAGTTTTGTGAAAGCAAACGGTCCTAGGCGCTATCGCAAAATACGAGGGCATCCTCCGAGACTAAGCCTAGGGAAAATAGGAGTTTCGAGAAAAAATTAAAATTTATCGAAATCTCTTTTCCCCGCCTAACTCAGTACCATATTCAACAAGATTGAGATTTTAACGCACTCGAGTATGCGTTGGCATCATAATGCCCTTTTTTAAAACCTTTGGCTTATGATCATTACTCGTGAGCAAAAGGAAATATGTGCTAGGTAACGAAATAATTTAGTCGAAAGTGAAAAATACTAGCTTACTAAAACCTAGTTTATTTTTCGCGTTGAATTGAAGTAAGCTCCACTGCAAAGGTATATGGTTACTGAAGACTGTGTCAGCCTCGCGAATCCAAGCGATCATAGCGAATTTTGCGAAGCGACGAGCGTATGCGACAACGCATATCGAAGGATGCGCCAGCGAATTCACGTTGCGAGAAGACTTGGCGATAGTGCCGCTCATGAGCACATTTCCTTCTCGGAACTTCCCATGACTTCCATCCCTTCCGCTTCACCAGTCCTCGCGGTCGGAAAGTTGGGAGAGGAGCGCGAGCGAACGGCTATTGAACCTCCTGCCCTCTTTTAAGTCGCTAATGCATCGCCCAAATCGAAAATGCATGCTTCGAACTGCTTACTGCATTCGAAGTCCAGCACATCGGCTCAGGGCCTCGATCCGCGAAGGCCTGGCACTGCCTAACAAATGTATGGCATTAAGTTTCCGTGGATCTTGCAAATTTGTATTCGTTGGCGCATTACTACAAGGAATCAAAGAAGTTGTGAAAATTCTATGTACAACTCTGTAGTTGCTGAAACAATGGTCATGATGCTATCCCGTGCCCTGAACATCCGAATTCCAAGCAAGTAGCATTTCGGAAGTCAACTCGAATCAGTCGCGGATTAATGTGGCTATAAATCTTTATCCATTTCAGCTTTTTGAAAGACAGGCAAGCTTTACACGGCTTTTCCTCACCGAACAGCTACCGCTCCATTTGGCCGTTTCAGTGAGTCAGGATTGATGCTCCTCTTATAGAAAACCGTTATAGGTCTTGGAAGCATCTAAAAAAAGCCCGTTCATCATAGCCATTGAAGGAGCTCGCCAGATGACGAATAAAGCTCACCCACACAATTTAGGAGGAAGTGGGTGAAGACGTATGAAGCATTCTCAGTCGATAGTGAAGGATGTCGTGTTAAAAAAGAGATGGCGGAAGGTGACTGCGTGGGAGTATCCGAGGGCTACTAATAAATGGTCCATAAATTTCAACACCGTTGCTTTTTCTGTGGTCACGACATGGCGGTTTATGTGGGTAGATGCTTTATTGCTTTAACCCCCACATTACTAGACCCCAGAACACTCGTCCATCAACAATACGAAAGGTATATAAGGAGTCTCCTACGAGTATAGAAGCCTCCAGTTACGGTATTTCTTGCAGTATGCTGTAGTTATACTCATTCAGACTTTCTAGGCTTAGCCCTTGTAGGCAGTGACAAGGAGCTAACAGGTTTGACAGTATCACCACTCTTAGCACCCTAAGGTGAACGCCAGCTGGCTCCATGTGATTAGATCCTTCTTCAGTAACTTGTTTATTGTGATAGAGACCCCCAGCACAACTTTTTTCCCCCGGCCGACATCCATTCCCTTTTTCGAAGCCTGTGGGGTTTAGCACTGAGGGTTCGAAAGCCAGTCGATAAATCTGGAGAATGCGAAGTGCATTCCTTCACCATTGTGCACAGTTGATATGTTTAGTAAAAAATCGTCACAAAATTCGTTTTCAAATTCGATTTTGTTAATTTGGGTGCCTTAATTAGTGGGGGGGGGGGTCGCCTGCGTGTTCTGCGTGAATATATGCATATAAAAACTTGAAAAAATATATGAACGAATACGAATATGTGGCAAACTCGATGATATGTAAGTCAGGGGAGTACAGCACTTTCCAGCAGCAGGGTCAAGCCGTCACGTTGGCCTGACTGCAAAAATTTCACCACCCCCTACGACTCCCGCCCCACCTCCACTCTTCCCCCGTAACAGTTACTGTATGTAAGGATGTGTGCAGTATGCGACCTTTTCGCAACTTCGACCTTATTCCTGATTGTTCCTCTCCAAAAAGTACGCAAATTCTGGTAAATGTTTATTACTTTAAAAATCATCTCGTTGGTCCGTTTTTTGTGCACACGCGGATTCTTTGGCTTTGAACTACAATAACGTTTCTCAGATTCAACCATTCGCAATTCTTCACCCCGAGTAGAAAGCTAGTAGATTAGAGTCTTCTGACAAATAGTCAAACTCATTCCAAAATTGTGCTGATCAAAAAATAGCCCGTTGTTACTTTCTGCTCTCTTGGAATTTTTCGAGCTATTTTTCTGAAAACGCGAATTTTCGAGCTCAAATGGTTTCGGACCTTCTCGAACAACGGATTTTGTGCAAAGCAGGTGGACAAATTGGAGAACTACCCAGTATTGCGCTTCATAAAGTATTAATCTTTTCTGTGAGTAATGACTGCCTTTTCCCCTTCATCAAATTTTCTTTGTGAGCCTCTGAGAACCAAGTCGCCCAGATGCATTCCTTCCGCTTACGTAGCATGTCCATAATCATCAGCCTGCCGGAGAGCAATATTTGTGCCTGAGGACAATCACATATAGTCTGAATAGCTGGAACTAATTTTGATCTGAGATGCGCCATGCACTCGTAATTGGGCAAGTTGCAGGAACACTCGAAAGATGCATCCCTCACCTAATATTGTGACAGCAAGCGTTTTGATTCTAATCGCGTAATACTGTGAACCTAAACTGCTAGCCCGAATTTCAATCGCATCTGCCGAACATTCCGCCATTTCCTTTGTAGTTTCAGTCGCTGCTCTTTTTCCACACATTTAGATCCCTTACGAAGTTATTACGCCTACGCTCCTACAACTCTGAAAATCCACGCCTTGCGACGTTGACCCTTGCGCATACGACCCCTCCCTACTCTATTGGTCTCGCACATCGCGCGCTGCAACTCATCCACCGACTCTGCCTTCTTGCTGCGCGACGAGCCTCCTGGTGGGTACCCTTGGACTTTGACCAGCGAACGGTCAACCCTTTCTAGGGGATGGGTGATGGCGCGAGTCTCTTGGCATGCGAGAAAAGCTGGAGTGTGCGAATTCTCACTTCCTTGCTGAGAGGAGAGGATGCGCACATGCCTTGTGCCAAGGCGGCAACTTGTCCCATTAACCGATTTTAGCACCGCCGATTTTATTCTCCTTAGACGTAAGCCACTCCAGTAACGTGTAAGTTATCTGTAACTTTACAAATATTTATTTACTAGTGCCAGTTGTTTACAATTGATAAGATTAGAATTTAGCTGCCTTTTTGCACACATATTTCCTCATCTTTGTGCTGCATTCCACGTCGTTCCATTGTGTTTTTGAGCCCTTGTAGTCGTCTTGGAGAATCTGTAAAGAAACTTAGTAAAGCTAATGAATTAGGTGTGTAACAGCTCCCGTCATGGAATGGGTCTTATTGGAGGAACAATTACGCTCTGCCTTTAAAGGACGAATTCACGCTGAAAAAGCAACCCATTTCAAATTAAGTTAGGATGGTGAGTGGTACACGAAAGAAGGAAAAACCATGAGAAACGGCCCAGAACCCGAGAAATGGGACCCCTTCCTTGCCCGTTGATTTGAGCATTGATGCGACTCTCATCGCTGTGCCCTCTTCAACACTACGCTCTCTCTGCTATCTAATCACTCGCCACGTATAGACCTGCGGCGAGTGATCAGATAGTCGGTGGGCGTACACCGCCAACCGCGCCAAGATTGAGAGATGGGGATACAACTGGTGTATAAGAGCGTTTGTAGTGACGACTAAGCTGCGGAACTGAAAGTGGGAAGGAAAGCAAGAGAAATGATTGGAAACGCTAAATTAAGGCCTTAACCTTCAGTAAGGTCGGAATGTGGTACGGCGAGACAGGGCGATCAAAGAAGACAAAACACGCGAGAGAGCACGTCGTTTGAGAGCGCGCTGATCTCTACATCAGTCGTGGTGGGTGGGAGAGCGTTGCAACGGGGGCTAAGGGGGAAGTGGTTTCAGGCAGGGTCAGCGCCCTAATGGCGCACTTTGTACAACAAGCTAGCATGATTATTGTAGGTCGGACCCTACAATTTCTTTCGCGGTATCTTTCCTACTAGTCGGGCTAATCCCGGGCTTGCCTTCAGAGGCGAGGTCCTGTATGATACGTTCTCGACACGGAGGGAGTAGAATCCTATTGGGGACGTAGACTTGGAAAGAATTTCATGGTATTTTCTTAATGTCAAAAGCTGCCATGTTTCAAAGAGACTTGTTAACGTGCTTTTTTATTTCCAAGGTATAAAAGTCTTGCTGGGCATTAGCTTAGGAAACTGGAGAAAAATATTGGAGATTTTCCGTGTCGAAAAATGAGGGGTGGCCGGAGGAAGTGGTATTGAAGTAGGATGGTTTGTTTGGAAATATTCCCCCACTTCATGCTGATCTTGAAGCCAGATCCAATAGGAT